TTAAAATGGAGACGTACCTATTCATTTAAAACATTCACATATTTATTCACAAAACTTATGAATTTTTAAAAATTGAACATATTTTTTCACATAAATCGATTAAAATGTCCAAGTTGTTTAAAAAAAATAATGTAAGTATTAAAAACATGTTGCATAAAACATTTGCATCATTCAAAATTCATTTGGTGAAAAAAATAATTGGAACACGGTTATTTTAAATGATGACACAAGTCCCACGAGTTGTGATATGCAGGCTCCCTCTTGTGGTCTGTGAAAGAATCACGGCCTAAGTATAGTTTAGTTGTCTTTAACCTTTAATATATTGAAAATGTAATCTATAATGACTGATTGTTTTTACGATTAATATATTTAAATGTAATCTATAATGACTGATTGTTTTTACGATTTTGATTTAACTTTTACGTGCAGTACACTTGAGTTGGATCTTTAAGTGCAATTTACATATTTTCCTATATTTAAGATGTTCGAACTGTGCACTGTTGCTTACAATACTACATGAAATATACTTTTTAGAAAGAAAACCTCGTCTGAAAGTATTTATTGTGGGGTGGTAGGTACTTGTCAAAAGTTGTTTACATTCATACTTTTTTTAGGGGGGGGGGGTTATTATTTCCTACCATGAAACACACTCATTGAGCGACTTTCATTCTCTTCATTCCATTATTGAGGATCTTTATTTGTAAGCTGATGCAACCAGTGAGCCATTTTTCAGTTATTATTGCTCTTTACTTCTCTGAAATAGCCTCGATGGAGTAGATGATACAATTTTATTCCATCCTTTTACAAATACCGTCCCTCCAAGCATGCACCATGTATTTAAAACAAAAACAAAAAACTGAACAGGAGGGAACATGAGACTGGGAGCCCCCTATTGTTGACCCTCTGACAGACCACTTGACATGACAGATGTTAAGTTATTCACACATGCATTTTAGTGCAAATGTCTCAAGCTGGAAGTGCACACTCCAAGCATGACGGGGCTCATTATTATTACAGTCAAAAGAGCAGACTGGAGAGGTTCTGGAGCCTCACGATACAGACAAAGACTGAAACGACAACACTGAGGAAAAAAAAAACATATCACATCATATATTAATTTACAGCGTCTCCCTATATAGATACGAGTGGAATAAACGTGTCTTTCGGTACCGCTCATGCAAATGGCAACCGTGTGGATGCGTTACTTTGAGCTGGATGAGGATGACGAGGATGATGATGATGGACCTTGGTTCTCAGGTTCTGAAGGATTGTTCAGAAAATGACCGCTCGCTCCCACGTACAGTCTGGACCTCATCGGCCATTTCTGTTATAGGGAGAGTCAAACAACTTTGATTAGAAATTTCACAAACACAAATGAGAATGACGAAGATGGTAAGATTACCCTGAACAAAACTCACATTTGTTTTTAACGGCGAGCCTCAAAAGTGCCATACATGGAATCACTGCACTCTACATTAGTTATATTTAACTTGTTAGTTCAATAAATGTCCAGAACTGTTTTTAAAGTTTCTTTGTAGGTCCAATTTTTAATTCAACTTTGATGTGTTGTACATCAAATAATGTTTATGTAATAATTTCCAGTCATTTAAGGGCAGTGCAGTGGTTTACAACGATATTCAGCGTACTATTTAGGAATAAAAACGTCTTATGATTGAACACTTAGGCCTACTACACTGCTGGCCACGATGGTGCTACTTGGAGAGACAAATCTTTTTTTCTCAAATGCTAACTGGTGTAGAATGTTTTAAGAACCGCTGCTTTATTTATAAAACGACTATTCGATTATTTCCGGTAAAACTCTGGAAAATATTACCAACACATTTCAGTGTATTGTCGTTATTTAAAAAAAAAATTCCCGAATCGTAGTTGAATATGCCATCGACATTCTGAAGAAAAACTGACGGAATGATTTGGTAAAAAAAAAAACCCACAAAAAAAAAACAAAAAACAAAACAAAACAAAAAATTATACTTGTCTTTTTGACTTATTTCGTTCAGAAATACAACTGCAATATTTAGCCCAAACGGTTTGATGTCTGACCTTGACCGGGTGCAAGTAGCCTTCCCCTTTGAGCGAGTGTAACGCCTCCGCGTGCTTTGTGCTTTCTCCTTCGTCGGCGCCTTCCTCCTGCAGAGTTCGAGTCAAGTGGGCAATGTAGGTGGTGGCCAGTATCAACACGTCCAGTTTAGACAGCTTGGTGTCGGGAGGCACCGACGGCAGCGTGCGTTGCAGTTCTAGGAAGGCGTTCCTCAGGGTCTGTACGCGGCTCCTTTCCCGCGCCGCGTTGGCCGCCGCCGGCCGGCCCCTGCCGCCTCCTGCGCCGGCCTGCTGCTGCTGCTGCGGCGGCGGCAACCGGCCCGCCGGGCTGGAGCTCGGGCTGTCGTCCACCACCGTCACGGAGCAAGTGCCGCTGTCCATTCGGTGCGTTTGCCTCCCAACCATCTCGCTAAGCTTTACAAGTTCAATGACACACGTTACGTTTGGTTCGCAAAATGTTGGGTTCACTTACTAAGTAATACTTTCGAAAAAAATTAACCGCCCCCCAAAATAACTACATCACTCAATAGCGTAATTGCCGAAGCATTTTCGACCGTTTTCGGAAAACGAAAACCTACGACACCAAATGAAATGACCTCGATATCGGAAAAATTTATACACCGACAAGAAAAAAATATATATTTACGGGAATTGGTATTTTATCTTACTGCTATTGTGACAGTATGTTCAAAATGATTTGGGCAATTACGCTATTTGGCGAACGGTACCGAATTATATGTAACAAAAAGTTAAAATGCTCCTCTGGGTCCATTTGGCCTGTGACGAAAACATGACATTCGTTTTTGTTTCAAATGTTTGTTAAAATGTTTCTCTAGAACTGCAGTAATGCTCCTTGGTCATTTTGACCCATTAAATAAAAACGAATCTTTGTAACATGTTGGAAAATTCTCATTTCTCTATGAAATATAGAATTTGTCATTGGTAGATGCTTGGTGTAAATACAGCTTAATTTTATCTTGATTGAAAATGACAAAACCATTTTCCAGGGAACGCAATAACGTTCTGGTCAATACATTAACCGTAAAGAATTAGGTTGTACAACTTAATTTTAATGGCTAGATATGAAAGCCAAAAGGCTCCAACAGCATTGATTTTTAAAAAAAAAAACGTTTTTAAGTGATAAAAATAACGTGAGCTGCTTCCGGTCAAATGTACTGACTTAAAAGTGACGTTTTAATTATTTTGACTTAGTACTACATTGATGGCACTTAGAATGTGGTGAAATCTTGACTAGATGAGGAGAGCAAGGATGATATGGGTCTATTTGACCGATAACAAAGCAAAGAGTTATTAATTAAACTATTCCACCAAAGAACTGCTTTAACACGTTTAAAAATTTCAAGTGGGTCAGCCAATTCTTCAACCTGGCTTCACTGTGTGCACGATACTGTATGACACACTGTCAGACTTAAGAAATATTTATTTTAAAACAGGTCAACTTCTTTAATCTGGCTGCATTACTGGAGCGATACCATATGACATGGGTCAATTTGACCCACAGGAGAGTTAAGTATCCTTTCATGCTAAATAACTACTTTTAACTATGAATAATTGACAACAGGACCATCGTACTAACCTCGCCGCACTACAGAGTAATATGATATAATGCATCGGGTCAATTTGACCCGCTACAGTAAAATATCCTATCAAATAACTACTTTTAACGATTAAAAACTTCTTCTCTATCCTGGCTGGGCCACTGGAGCGATACAAAAAAGGTGACATGGGTCAATATAACCCATGACTTAACAGTAGGGTTAAGAAAATAAACTTTGCGTCAACGGCATGTCCATAAACAGTGTCAAGACTCACCTCGAGTTCTCCGAGCAGGCGTCATGAAAGACTGCATACCCCCCCAGGAAAAAAAAAATAAAAACACCACAAGACCCTGAATTGCCTCCGAATAGGGATGTTCCACCCCACCTCGCGCGGATTTCACGTACTAATTCATCACCTTCCACTGTGACTTTGGACTACTTTTCCTCCTCTCTCTCTCTCTCTGCTTGTCTGTGTCTTGAGTGGCGGCTGAGTTTCCTTCCCTTTTCCACACTCACCGCTTTGGGCCACAGTCTCGCTCTAATTGGCTACCCTTGCTGGCCTATCAGAAAATAGGCTGTTTTTTTTGGGGGGGGTGGGGGGGATGAAAGGCCTGTCTGTCAAAAGGCTTCTTGCAGTAGACCGTGAAGACAAGCTGAGAAGGTGAAATGCCAAAAAAAAATTCTTTTTTGCGGACGACAACGGCACTGGCTGCAATCAAGTGAGGAAATTCTCCCGAGGCTTCTTAATGAAGCACTCTTGGGATGGCGTATTAATGAAAGCAATTAGTCATTGTAGGCTTTGTAGAACTTAAAAAAAAAAGAAAAAAAAAGGCCAGTATATTCATCTCATTGTTTCATAATTGTAACATAGCCGTTGGAAGACTTTTTTTTCGGACTAAGATGGGCCCTACAGGGAAAAGGGATCCATTTTGTTTTTATAAGGACGAGTAAAGAGTATCCTGCGGGGGCCGCTTATTTGCCGGTTAAGTCGAGTAAGGTCAAGTAAGCTTATTTGCCTAATTACACCGTCTCCATTTTGGACGCCTGTGTCCCAAATTTGCCATTTCGAATTTAAATGTCTGATTTGAGGGAAGAAAAAAAAATGACATGGCAAAATGCCATTTTATCAAAAGAAAATGACATTGATTAAAAAAAAAAAAAAAAAAAAAAACAGCTTTAAGTCAAGATTTAATGTTCTAATTAATTTATGCAATCAAAGCAGTTGAGTTATACCAAAAAAAAAAAAAAGGTTCAATCTATCAAATCTATCTGGTGATTTTTTTATTTGCGTCCGCCGTGACGGCCATCCGGTTGAGCCGTCTGTACAGAGAGCTTTTTAACAGCTGCACCCTAGAAGACAATACACACACACACACACAAAAAACACATTGATTTAATCCGCATACATTCTCACTTCTATCGTGACAAAACGAATAAAACCCAAGAAATGATCACGGACCTGTGAGACTGCTGCTGCTGCTGCGGTGGTGGCGGCGGCGGCAGCTTCCACCCTTGCGCACGAGCGAGGCAACAGGCGCGAGGCGGATACGCACCCTGACCCTTGCTCGCGTTATCTGCAACTCGTACAAACACAAAAAAGCGTCGGGAAGGATAATGTGACCAGTTGAAGACAAAACATTGCTGCTATTTAAAACAAAAAAAAAAAAAAAAAGTAAAAAAGAAAAACATCAAACCTAAATATTGCCTCTATCGAAATATTTTTTTTCTTCAAATGTGTAGTTATTATCCAGAACATGGAATTTGACAATTTTTTTTTTACTATTATTGCATTGCAATATTTTTCTTAACCCTTAAATTTTTTTTTTAAAATACAGCTGGAAGAGTTTTTTTTTCATAATTATAATTTATTCTAATATTATTTTAAGTGACTGTACATTTATGGACACTTTGAAAATGGACACTGCGCTAAAATATGGAAAATCACGATTCAATTAAAATGTATGACACATAAAATGACATCACGCTGCACCTAAATAGCTCAAAAAGATAAATGCGACTGTATAGTACTTCAAAGTTAAATACAACTGAACTCGACTGAATCAAATGTACTGTCATGGAATTGTTTGAAGTCAAAAAGCCAAACGATACATATTCTTAACATTTAATTGAGAAGCGGTACCCGGATCATCCGTTGAGAATTCGCGGATTAAGATTCTTATTTTGATGAATTTTTTTAAAAAATGAATCCGAATTGACCAAAAAGTGGCTTACTCATTAAAGGTGGCGGGTTCAATAGCGCCGCCTTCTTTTTCTTCTTGGCTTCTTTAGACGCTTCCCATTTCACCAGAAACTCTCTGGTCACTTCGTGAATATCACGGCCATCCAGCACCTCTGCGGCCAGCAAAAAAAAACAAACAAAAAAAACAAAAAAAAAACAACAACAACAACAAAAAAACAATGAGTGCCTGGCTCATTTCCGCATTTTGATTTTTTTGAAAATACGAGAGCTACTTTATTTACCGAGCGCCTTGCACGCCGTGATCAGTCGGTCTCGGTACTTGGCCGTTTTACACACGGGATTTCCGCGCAAATCCATTTGAACGAGCCAAGGCCAGGACCCCGACACGCTCTCGAGCTCCTGGGGGGTTGGGGGGCGCGGGGGTGGGTCACAAAAAAAATTCGTTATTCAGTCCTCACCAGAAACAAACAGGGAAGGATGTCGAATACAAATTCCATAAACAACACATCAGTTTGTTTTAATAAATACCGTTGCCGGTGTCGTGTTAACTACAAGTGCCCCCGCCCGCCGCCCCTCCCCGAGGGGGTCTTTCACTTGTATGTTTATCCAAAAGGCACATTAATCCACGCCATGGAAATATGAAGACCCTCTGGACACGCTCTGATTGTTCATTGCCTTCCTGTCTTGGCCAAAAGCGCTTCCACTTTTGCCGAGTGGCGCTGCAATCAGTTCAGAGGGATGGCGGGGGCTGCCGAGCGGAGGGGTGGGGTGGGGGTGGGGGGTCGGGGACCCCTGAGCACGGCTTTGATAAATGATCGTGTCAGGGCCGTCAGTCAGAAGCCCCCTCGCCGCCACCGAGGCTAACACACACCCCCCACCTCACCGCCGCCGCTCCAGTGGGGAGTTGCGAGTTCGGCCTCAGCCGGGCTAATGATTGGGCCAGCTATGAACCTGCATTTGAGCGGGGGGGGCGCTTCGATTGCGGATGAAGATGCTCCCCCCATTTGTCACCCGGGGGCTGACTGCCTGTCATAATCTTTTTTTTTTTTTTTTTTTAAATGAGAGGTCCATTTTTTTTCCACAAGAGCCGATTGATCCTTTTGGGAATGTTTTGAGTGGATCAATAGAAGCAGACAGCTTGTATAAATTGATAAGATGAACCCCCCCCAAAAAAAAAGATACCTTGTATTCACAACGAAGCTCTCTAAACACAAATGCCGATGAGGGAAGTGATGGCAATTTCAAATCACATCCCAATGTGGTTCCCGCACACCCAAAAAAAACCCACGTCACAGGATCGACTTCGCAGTTCAATGAACATTAGCCGACGCACCAAATAAACAAACAAAAAAATAGCCCCAAAAAAATGTCACGTAAGATTCCGTGACTGCAAACCGTTTGGATTGTCGAAACGTCGAAAGCCAGAACGGTTTGAATCAAACGTGTGTGGGGGGGGGGGGGGGTTGGGTGGGGGAGGGGTTTGGGAAAACCTCTCTCAATTTGGGAATTTTAACGCAAAAATACATTTGAGGAAAAATGGGAGAAATAGTTCAATGGCCGCCCTTGATGTTTGAATTCAGACGAACCGCACGAAGCGAGAAAGCGGTTAGCGCAACGGATGAAAATTAGCCAACCCTGATCCCAAATTTGGGGATGTGAGAAAAGCAGTTTCGGGGGGAACTGGCGCTCGTTTGAAGCTGTCAGTGAGCAAAATCCTCCGGGGAGCGCGTCGCTGATTTGTTGAATAATTCCGACCCCCGGGAGGGTCATTCGAGCCGACGGTGGGATTTGCAGGATTTGGTTGTGTTAGAACGCCGTATCTCCATCTCATTTCACGCCTGGCCGCGTACAGCTTACACAAGCGCCGTCAAGCTAATCACGCGTCCCGATTGGCCTTTAAAGGCCGAGAAGAATTTTTTTTTTTTACCTCCACGTTGCGAAGCTTGTTGTCAGCGGCGGAAAAATGTCGGATTTCCCACAGCGCGGCGAGGTCGGCCATTTCGTCGATGTTGTTGTTGCTGATGTTGAGGACGCGCAGAGATTTCTGGGGGGGGAAAAAAAATCATGAGCATCGTAAAACTGAGAAATTTGTCCCCCGCCCAAAGAAATTCCGGAGAAAAAGCAGGACTGTATTATATTGTAAAATATGCACCAAAAGTCGGAATCATATCAGCCATGAAGTCACGCTACATGTCAGCAAATCTCGCGAGACTTGCTGAAGTCTCGCGAGACTTCAGCATTATTTTTCGGGAGACTTCAGCCGATTCCACGAGACTTCAGAAACTCTCCAGAGAACTTCGCAATTCTTGCCAGACTTCGACATCTGAAACCTCATCCTTTCCATTTTCCGAGTCTTCACCACATCTCGCGAGATTTCCTGAGAGTTCGACAGTAGAAATCTTGCGAGACTTCGGTGTAGCTCTTGACACATGCGAGACTGCAAAATATCTTTTCCCACCGCTCATGCCGTCTAAGTTGCCTCGATAACGTGTCATGGCAAGATGTCAAATTTTTTTTTTTTTTTTTTCAAATCTGGAACTCTTTCAATTTGCACAGCAATTTTGTTGAATGATCTAAACAAACAAGAAGCTCAAGCGCGTCCTGGGCCGTTACCGGAGCCACACAGGTCTCTTTGACATCATCAAACAACATCCCCTTTACAAGGACCACCAACCTGCCGAGGCATCTTGTACCCCACACACACACACACACACACACACACACACACACACACACACACACACGTCTTTTTTTTAAAGCCTCTCATCTGACCTCGCTACATCATTTTCAAGTGCGCCGTCGACGGACGACTATTTTCCGACAGTAAGGGGCAATTTTATTTATTTTTTTTTTAAAAAGCAAAGTGGGTCATACAGCCAGGGCGCGTAGAGTCCTGGGGTCGAAAAGCAGTTTCTCCCCGGGGGGCAGCCTCTGACTCTCCATATGCAGCTCCTCCAGCTCCCCCAGGCTCTCCAAACCCTCGAGAAGCGAGATCCTGTTACCGCCCAGGAAGCTGCAAAACACACACACACGCACACACACACGCGCATTCCCCCAACGCGACAAGATTTGACTTTTGTGTTTTAATATTACAAAAAGACACTCACAGTTTGGAGAGCTTGTGCAGATGGGCCAGGTTGTCAATGTGTGTGATATTGTTGTTTTGCAGGTACAGATGGGTCAGGTTACAAGCGAAGTCCAGGTTCTGGATCTGCGTGATGCAATTGTTGTACAGGTAGAGGACGGTCAGGTTTTGGCATGCGGAGAGGTCGCCCTAAGGAAAAGCGGCACCACAAAAAAAAAAAAAAAAAAGGTAGCTTTCAGACTTCCTGGTTGTTGTCATTTCAAGGTGAATGAATATAAAACGGGAGGTAGGCCGTCTTGACACCAATATTGTGGTTTGTAATTTGCGGCGGGCTAGCGTGCAACTGCAACTTATTAGAAACAGCTGAAGCAGCGGCACTTCCGCGCCACTGGAAATTGCAAACCACAATAATAAACATGAGGTTAAGCATGCGGATGCCCTCTCAAGTGGGAAACATCTCGCTCTGAATCGGCAGCACACGGTGCGCATTCAAATGTAGATCAATTCTCCCATCTAAAAACAAGTTTGCAAGTTGTTCATCGCCGGTCTTAGGCTAGTTGAAATTTCAAACAAAGAGAATTGATGTGGACAGATTGAACAACACTCCCTGGCATGTATTCTTTATCCTCTGCCAAAAACAACCACGTCAGTGGTTAAAACAAAAGCTGTGTCTGGATTACAATGCTAACGTGTATTGAGGCATTAAATCACGTTCAATTCTAATTACATTTTATTTGTGTTCTTAATGTCAGTTTTTGCAAAGTAAAATACCACGGGGTTCTAATTTCCTGACTTTTTGTCGGTCGAGAATGGATCAATGGCATTCCCATTCATTTCAATGGGATTAAGAACATTTGCATGAGTGGCGACAAAACTTGACATTTTAAGAAGAAAAAGGCAAGGAAGCCCTCTACTCACGATGTCCTCAATGTTGTGCCCGGAGAAGTGGAGATGGGTGAGGGTCCTGAGGTTGTATTGAAGGGAGAGGCGGCCTTTCTTTTTCTTGAAGTTCCTCGAATTGACTATGAGCTCCGTGGTCAGGGTTACCATGGTGGTCCTTCAGTCCTGCCCCACCCTTCTCAAAATGCACGCCACCTCTAATGAATATAAACAGTAATTACCTCCCAAAAGTCATTTGCTGCCCCAGGTTCGTCCCCGGTCTTAGGCTAGTTGAAATTTCAAACAAAGAGAATTGATGTGGACAGATTGAACAACACTCCCTGGCATGTATTCTTTATCCTCTGCCAAAAACAACCACGTCAGTAGTTAAAACAAAAGCTGTGTGTGGATTCCAATGCGAACAAGTATTGAGGCATTAAATCACGTTCAATTCTTTACATTTTATTTGTGTTCTTAATGTCGGTTTTTGTTTTTGTCGGTCGAGAACGTATCAATGGCATTCCCATTCATTTCAATGGGGTTCAGAACATTTGCATGAGTGGCGACAAAACTTGACATTTTAAGAAGAAAAAGGCAAGGAAGCCCTCTACTCACGATGTCCTCAATGTTGTGCCCGGAGAAGTGGAGATGGGTGAGGGTCCTGAGGTTGTATTGAAGGGAGAGGCGGCCTTTCTTTTTCTTGAAGTTCCTCGAATTGACTATGAGCTCCGTGGTCAGGGTTACCATGGTGGTCCTTCAGTCCTGCCCCACCCTTCTCAAAATGCACGCCACCTCTAATGAATATAAACAGTAATTACCTCCCAAAAGTCATTTGCTGCCCCAGGTTCGTCCAACTAAAACAAATACGTCATTCTTTGTTGTGATGATGTCACATACCGAGCAACCTTTCCCTTTTACTTGTCTTTTCCCAAACATTTAGTACGACATATACGGCAATGCGACTGCTTCGTACCACGCAGCAAATGATAACTAAATACCTAATATAGGATAATATACACTATGCGGTTGTCGCAAATGTCGTTCCAGACTTGCGTGTGTCGCCGTTGATGCTAACTTGGCTAGCGCGACAATGACGCACAGTACGTCGCCAACCACAATTTGACGCACATTAAAAAAGGGAGAAAAAACCCCCACACAACTTCAAAATTATTCTCCTACTTACTTTATATGATTGTTTTGCGCGTCGAATCGAGTACACGCACATTAAAAAAAGGGGAAAAAAAAACACAACTTCAAAATCATTATCCTACTTACTTTATATGATTGTTTTGCGCGTCGAAGCAAAAAAAAAAAAGTTGAATAGTTGATGTAGCCATTGTTGCCACGGAAACCACGACGCAGCGGAAGTGAGCCAACGTTTGGCGTCGACAATTAAAACACAAATATTCCAGTAAAAAAAAAAAAAAAACAAGAACTCGCCATTTTATCAGTACAAGTCGATACAATTAGTTTACTAGGGTAGCGCGGTGGTTTAGTGGTTAACACAGCACCCGTACACTCGAGAATTCGCACGTTCGAGTTCTTTCGGCGCACGTGTGGTAATCGCCAAGTCTTAAAACACGTGCGTTCGCGTCAATTTTTCTCTCGCTCGTTAAAAGTCAGACAATCACGATAGAAAACGGATGGATAACTCATGTCTCCCCAATACCGCAGTGCGGCTCGTCCCCCTCATTACATTATGGAAGAACCAAGGTCAAGGTTCTGCACAGTCTCAACCGGTGTCCCTTTCCTGGCCAGGTTTCGCGGACCGTCCTCCCCGTTCGGGTCGGCGGCGTGGCAGTGACACAGGCCAGGAACTGCAGCACACTGGAGGCCATTCAAACGTTGAGCGTGCGAGTCACCTCTGCGCCACGCCGCCGTTAGTGTCACGTCGGTTTCTCGGGGCATTGTAATGGCCAGGTGTATATTTTGGATGTCGTGTTCAACCGAGGAGAGAAGCCCGTCGGGGGCGGCGGCAGACGTGTCTGCTTATTCTCTCGCAAGATGAAGTCGGGCACCGCTTCTTTGTAATGATTTTCACTTGCGATCCGAAACTGCTTTCTATGAGCGTTTGTGTGTTCAACAGTCACGCTTTCGCCTTGCGGTTTCGAGCGTTGCCGATCATCAAAATATGTTGGAACACGTTAGGAATAGCGGTATGATTATCAAAAAGATTTGAAAGGAAGAAAAATATGCAAGTCAAACTGGGGGCAGCCAAAAATCAGTCCTTTGCTGGAGTCATTAAGAGTTCAAGTTGGACTTGATCCCAAGGTTTCAAGAAAAAACAAAAGAAAACACAATATTATTTTGCATGGGACTTTATATTTTAACTCCAACATACTTTCTGACTAGTATAACAGTGAAAGGCGCGTGGGGGGGCTGAAGGGATATAAACACTTGGCAGTCAGACACACGCACACACACTACCCAGTAAGTGCCAGAACAAGCGCAGAGGGGGGGAAAAAAATTAATTTGATGTGTTGATTTGATTGAAGAGTTTGTCCTTAATGACTTGAGACATCAGGCCGTGAATGGCTTCGATGGTCGTCTTGCAGCTGAAGCAAATAAATAAGCAAGCACAAGTTAGGATTCGATCTTTGAACTGGTGATTTTAATCAGGACAGGGATTTTCTTTTTTTTTTTTTCCTTAAAAAAAAAAGCAATTGATTATTGGGATTGGAAAAAAGTTTCTTTTCTTTTTATTTTTTAAAGATGAAAAACGGATTTTTTTTTTGGGGGGGGGGCTATATATATCTATTTTTTTTCTGATTCTGACTTTGTTCCAAACGGTCCATACCTGTCCCGGGTGGCTTTGGCCAGCTTGTCCTCGGACTTCCTGTCGTGCGTGTCCAGTCCCAGCATGAAGCTGCCCCGGCCTAACTGGGCCTCCGACTGCTCCAGCTTCTCCGACAGGTCGAACACCTGACCCGTGGTGTAGTCCGAGTTCTGACGCACACAACACCCAAACAAAGACGGGACTGAATGAAGACGAGAGTCGCCCGCCGCTTGTGAAGAGTTTGCTTAAGGCGAGGCCAACACGGAGGCTCGTTAAAGCACAATGGCCCCCGCGCCGCTGTCACCGTCTTGACGTATCGTCAATTCGTCTCGGTGTGCGGCGCACTGTTTGGATAAGCGTGCTGACTATTCAGCCCCCCCGTCACTCACTAAGTCAGTCAGTCAGGCGGGGTGGGGGCAGAGGGGCTCCCATGATGGGGAAAACAAGTTTACCGTGAGGAGACTGGAGGAGCTTAACGTGTTGACCCAGTATTTGTTCCAAAGCAGCTCCAGCAACTTTCTGTCCAGGGATGACTTGAAGTATGTTACTTCCAGAGCATAATACCTACGAAACACAAAGAAAAAGAAAATAGTTTTGCCTTTATCAACGGACTACCCATTGCGGGTTGGAGACTCTCCACCCTGCGCTTTGACGACAATATAGCATTGTGTGCAAGAGTAAATAAGTGGCTGAGACAGGTAGGACGGCGTCCTCAAAACGGGCTAAATTCATCCAGAAAAGGAGAGTAAAAATGTGAAGCAACTATTTGACCCTTGGGAAATTTCAATCGATTGAAAAATTCAAAACTCTTAACTGTCACGACGAGCGCTAAGAAAACAGACGGGCACGACTCACTGTTTACAGTGTACGCCAAAGTCTTCAATCTTATTCAGAGGGATGGTTTGATACTCGGATGGCCCTTCGTCAGGAGGCTTGTAACCCTGAAATGACACATTGTCAACAAATGTCAGGAAAAACCTCACACGTGCCGAGAAAAGAAAAAAAAAAAGTGCTGCCGCCTACCTTGGGGTATGTCCTGAAGGCACCCAAGTTGACTTTGCCCGCTGAAATGGTCCGTGTGGGGTCGATCTGGAAAACGTGGCAAGATAGCGTCAAGCAGATCCAAGCGCAAAAAAAATATACTTAACGTCCTTCAAGTTCTTACCACCACGGCAACAAAAGGCTCCTGAAACTGCTGGTTGAGCATCTGAGTGCTAACGTCGATGCCCGACAGCCAGCAGCCGTAGCCCGGGTGACTGTGATACCAGCCGATGGCATTCTCCAGCCGGCCCACCTGACACACAAAAAAAATATATATATATCGCCGCAAAGTTTCACACACACTCCCGGGACGATTCTTGAGGGATACAACCGCATCATCTTCAATACAAGAGCCGTATACCTGTTTGGCGTTCTCGATGTAGGCGGCCATATACTCGTAGGCGGCGGCCTGCGCGTTGACACGGGTCTCGGTTCCCTCCACGGGCAGCGCAAAGCTGTCCATGATGATCATGCTCTCGCCATCCACCTTGCCCAGCATGAGGCCCATCACCTCCAGGTTGCCACCCGAGCGGGCGTGCATCACCATCTTCAGCAGTGCCAGCGCCGAGATCTTGGAGTACTTGAAGTAGTGGTGGCTTGTAACAGGAACACACAAATGTAGCACAGTCACAAAAACATACAGTCCACCCTCCTCACTCTCACTTTTTTGTTTTTTTTTTAGAATTACATAACTAAAAAAATAACTTCAGATGACATAGATATAGATTCAAAGTGAGCTTCCAAAGTTAGCAACTAAAGTTAGTTGCTAACGTTTGCGAAACGCGAATAGGTGAGTTTGTGAATGGTGAACCACACATAGGCGGGGGTTCACTGTACAGCGTCAATATCCGGTTCCGATGTCGTGGGTCTTTAAACCACCACAAATGAACGTTGAGCGACCTGCAGTGACTTTTAAATATACAAAAGACTGAATTGGTGGCTTCAACTCACTCTTTTGTCCAAGGCTTCGCCGCGAGGATCTCCTGTTGTTGCTTCTTGTCATATTTGTAAATTTCGTCGATGCTCTGAACCTCCTGCATGCTGTTGGTGAGCTCCCAGGTCTTCTGAGCAGTGCTAAGGGCCGCCATGCTGTCTCGGCCGATGACGAGTCGATGTCAAACCATGAACGTTCACTAAAGACGCAGAAAATGTTATCTTTTTTTTTGGACCAAATACGCTGATACCGCATCAAGTAGATCCAAGCTCAGGACGCCATGACAGTCGAATACCATGTATTAGATTATGGGGGACATCGGCTTTTATGTTGCGGTTATAAATCCCAATTTTCCCGAAGTTTCGTACTCGGTTTGTACATTTTGACAAATATAAGAGTAATAAAGTATTAATTTAATACTCGCTCAAGAGCCAACTGCGCTTTGAAGTATTCGGTGAAATCAAACTAGGGTGCCCCACAAACAAACAATGGTTCCGTCCAGGGAGGAAGCCAAACCGTCCAACCGTAGCTCTACCGCCATCTTGCGACGACCGGCATTTTTACACATTTCTACCATAACACGTTACCATTTGTATTGGTATTCACATTTTCATTTTTTTAACAGGGTGTGTATTCTTCCGGTTTTCACATTGCTAGGCGGGAAATCAATGACAAAATGAACCTAGTTCAAAAAAACTTTATTGACCTAGAACCTGATTAGAATGCCAGAGGATGTGTCGTACACAAAGTTGTACATATCTTTTTTTGCAACATAGAAAACTTTACATTGCTGCATCATATACATTTTTGTTTTCTACATCCATGAGCAGGAATGCGTCCCATTCGTACATAAAGCACAGTCAACGTCACTCATTTACCCCTCTCTCTCTATATACATATTACTTTCTCCCAAAACCCACCAAAAATTAAATATATTATTTTTGATTTTTATTGCACACACACACACACACACACACACACACACACACACACACACACACACACACACACACACACGTGAAAACAAGTCAAAAATGATAATAGACTAATAAGTCGTGTTTTTTTTTTTTAAGCAGCTAGCATTTCATCTTCCAGTTAAAAATCGAACAATACCAACGTATAAAATGGAATAATTTAATGAAGTCTTCACTTAATGGTGAGATGTTACAGATAAAATCGGGGGCGGAGGGCAAAAAAGTCAAGTCTCCAGTGCATTCCAAATGGAGGTCAAGTGCAGCGACAAATAATAATAAAATATATATATAAAAAAAAAATCTAGTGTTATCAGATTATTACATCTGTACATTTGGATGTGAACGTTAGCCACGTGGGGGGTATGCGGCAAGAGAGAGAGAGGTCACATTTCATCATGGTTTTTGAATATGTCTGCAATCATTCTGTTACAATAAATATACAGTAAGAAGCACATTTTTTTGGAATTTTTCAAATAGATTGTGTCTGAGCAGCTCAAAGATATGATGGCAGAGGAGGGTATCGCTACAAACCAGACTTTTTTTCTTTATTCGTTTTTTTTCGTGCTGAGAGCCGAGGTGAACGAAGGGCTTGGGGGCTGCAGGCAGGTGGCGTCACTGAGCTTCTTCCTCCTCTTTCAGCTGCTCCCGAACGGTGAGCCGGGGTTGCGGCTCGGGCGCGATGCCGAACACCAGACCGATCCGCAGGTAGAATTTCCTCAGGACGGCGCGCAGCTCCGGAATGAGGTCCAACTGCATGATCTCGCACAGCAGTGGATAGTACCGCGACGCGTGAGCCTTGAACTGCACGGGAGAGAACACAGCTTAACGCTAACGCATCATGTGAAGTGCCATAGGCGGGCTAATGAATAGCATTTTTTTGTTTCACCAATTAGAATGAAAGTATGGCCCCAGGAATGAAGCAATGTAAGTCGTCATGCTCGTGTCAACCCACCCGTTGGTCGC